CGATAGCATCATAATTAGGCATTAGTGAAATGAGGAACATTTTTGTAAGGGACCTCATTGAATATATCGGACATTAAAAAGCTGGTACTAGTGCCACTGTTTCATTGACTTGCCATTTTTAAAATCATTATCCCTAATGAACCCCATGTGTTTTTATATTGACTTGACCACATAAAGGTTAAAGGAAAAGAATCAGCATTCATCCTGACATGCACAATCCTATGCATCAAGTGATTGCAGTAACATTCATGGAGCTTCGGTACAATCTGAACTATAACTCTGAAGTCGACTGTAATGACAAAAACTCACCCTTGCATGGGTTTCTTGATCACTAACAAATCGGTCAATACTGCTCCTAAGTTTGGCAATCCTGACATCCCAGATATCTTTTATTAATGTCCTGACTTCATCAGCTCTCGGGATGTCGTTCGCAGCACTATAACATGAACAATTTTGCTTTAATTAACTAAAACTTAGGAATTTGGGCTCAAAAATACAAAAGCAAAGTTTGCAACAAATTACCAATTTTCAATGCTGTAAAGAAATCATTCTCAACTTGTGGAAAGTAAATTATGTTTGAGAATGGGGGATCATGGGATTATTTTATTGCAGGCGAACTTTGATTATTGGGGTCATATTTTTAATAAACGAGAAAATATTGATGTTTTCAAATGACTCTTTTGTTATATTGAACATTTCAACAATTTGATCAACAAACCATACAAGTACATATTTTAATTCAACCTTTCACATGTATTCAAATTTAGCAGATTTTATTGATTGGTGAAAATAAAAAAAATTTAAATTAATGTATTTACAGTATGAATGGGATACACACAAAAAAATGAAATCCAATGGAAAGACTTAATAGATGAGCATTCAAACTCTTACCCCGGTACTGTAAAATCTGTATTAGAAGCCGCGGCTTCTATTAAAATGGTACAAAGCAACAGAGGGAATGCGGCTTCTATTAGAGCATCTACACATATGAGAAATGATGAATTTTTGGTTCTCAATTGTACAAAAAGATTGGATGCGACTTCTATTAGCGATGCGGTTTATAATACAGATTTTATGGTACAGCTATTCATCAGTTTACTCCACCTTATATTTAAAATCTCATACAACAAAGCACCTCAAATAGAAGTCTACGCTCCAGCAGGAAAAAAATTATCTATGTACCAAAAATCTTGTGTTGGCTAATTATTTACACACTCATCCTTTACCATTAAACAAAGCATCTGAGAACAACCTAAAGTAGATATCTTAAGATGCAGACTAAATAATCATTTTTTTTCAATATGTTTTATGATAAGTGTCATTGAGCATCACTGATGGATGGATATCAGACACTATAAACTATAATTTATTATTATTTAGCATTTTATAGTCAAACTGTTCTCTCATCTCACAGTGTCAGCTCTACCTAAGCTTACCATTTAATCAATAACTGTGCCACTTCCATGTAATGTTCGTTTAACATCGGCTGAAACACTTGAGATCCAACTTCTTCTTTCTTCTTCTCTTCCAATATTTCTGGAGCAAAAGAAATAAAACATTCCTTTAATTAAATACTGTGTTTTGGTTGCCAAAAAGACTCGACTCTGACAAGTGTGACAAGCAAAACTGGGTGTTCATTTGTTAAACAGAAAAAAACTGTTGCACTGTATTGCACTGCACAGGTTCTTTATGAACCCTTGGTAGGATACAATTAGATTATTATTATTCGCTGTTTCATGATTCAATACCATTCTTAAGATTTTGTTTAAAATTCACAGAGATCCTTATTAAATTTTTGCTGCTACAAAACTACATGATTTTCAATGATTCAAGAAAATGACTATTATAAAAGTGCAAAATTGATCATAATTTTTTTTTAAATATTTTGATCTACCAGGTGATTGATTTTTTGACACATATGAACTCTTATGATTTTTTTCTAGTATAAAATATTTGTTTGGAGAAAAAACCTCCTAAAAAATGCAAAACTGGACAATTCTGGAACAATTTCCATCGGAAGATATGTTAAAGTATATTGTGTCCCTAAAACCTATCTGAAAAGTCATGAACCAGCATAAAATTTCAGTTAAACTATGTACTCTATTATAATACTATCAAAATCTTTCAGTTGATTCTATTTGATGAGGTGCAGTTTGCTTTTAATAAATAGCCACCAATGTACATTGCCTCTGAGTACATCTGACTGAATAATTATGCAAATCATGTCCAGTTACTGTATGACAGTATTTTTTCAATCCTACTAAACTTACCCACATCCATCCAGTCTGGAGGTTGTATTCTACATTTTTGTCTTTGTTTCAAATTAACAGCCATCCAGAGAGGGACTTCTACAGGTAAGCCAGGATTGAATGGTCCTACATCACCCTGTTGATTGCATAAATAGAATTATTATACATCTGTCACCGTAACGCCATAAGTTACAACGTGCCATAATTTTGAGGTATTTTACTAGGTATTTTCATTCTACCATATTAGGAAATGCGGAAAGATTACGCACGTAAGCATTCTCTAATAATAAAAACAAACATGGCTGTCACCAGGGTGTTATCGGACTCCACACTAAGAAGTTCATCGATTCTCTTCTAAACATTTTGGATTTCGGCATTCCCATGATGTATCCTTGGAAGGAAAAGATGTATAATAATAAGGTTATTACGAGGTTACTTAAAGTATGCACTCAGACAGTACGCCGTTGCATTGGTTGATACTCACGCTGTACTTTCTTCCTGCAAACTTTGAGGTATCCTCGTAATAACCTTGTATATTACCCGGTACAACAATTGTGTGATTTTTTATAATGCTAATTTGTTAGAGGTAACCTATTTGAAATCAGGGACTGGAGAAATTTGGAAAAAAAAATTGCATGTGGACTGAAAAAATATTCCAATGGCTCAAAGATATAAAAAAAATGTTCAAAAAGTGCAGACATGCTCTCAGGAAAAAAATCCCTACCACATTAGTGTGATCAATTTCTTCCAGCTCTCTCAAATTGCAAATGAGTCACCCCTTATTTAAAATAAACCGACTATAAAAAATGATTTTTTATCTGGAAAAACTATGCAACAGTAATAGAAGCCACTACTGCTGTTTTATCCTTTGCAGAAGCTCAGATTGAGTACATTTCTTGGGCTAATGAGAGCCTGTGAAGAAATTGTTAAACTAGATCTCAAGCTGTTATCTAAAGTGTCCTTGCATAATTATGTATTACTGTATTTGCTCTATTGGAAGCGCATTTCCAAAAGAAGCACATATAAATGTAATTTACGTAACATGGAGCAAATACGATACAAGTATTTCTCTCATTTCTGTTTTCGCAATCCAAGCTTTCCCATGTGATTCCATTTGATAGAACAATTTTGATTGCGGCAAACATATGTGGCTCATTCGCATAGCTCCACCATATATGGATATCAAAGTTACATATCCTTATATAAATCTCTGATTACATTACAATATGACATAGTCTCATACATACAGGTCAAATGTCATAAAGAACCAAATGTGGTGGCGTTGATTGGGACCCCAAGTTGAATTAGGACTAGCAGACATCTTTTAAAGTTGCTTTCATATTATTACTACAGAACACTTTCCACTGTCATGTCCACCATGAGAAATGATAAAATCTGTTGGTTTGGCGAAAAGAAGTCTTTACTGTGAACAAAAATTCAAACTAACCAGCAGTATTGCAATATAGCTCACTGTTTTGCTAGAAAGTAGCAGTATTGATATTAGCCCCGAGTACAGTCCTGTAGGTTGGCCTCCTTCGCTGATCATTCGGCCCCCACAGTACCGGTACTGGAAGGAAGTCAACCTACAGGACTGTACTTGGGGTAGCCGT